AAAGAGAGATAAGGAGGAAGGAGGAAGAAAAATGGCTGACAATTAACGAATCGTTTCATCTCCATATTATCTTTTCATCTGGAACGGATTCCTCTAGTATCCTCAGTTTATTTCACATTTTTCAAGGAAAACTAATTAAAATAATAATATTGATAATAATAGCAACAATAACAATAACAACAATAATAATACATAATTAATAATAATAAAACCAACAACATATAATAATCATAATTAAAAAAGCAACAATGACGCTAACAATAACAAAGATGATAACGATTATATGCTATCACAGCAGCAATACCAACAACAATTATCACGCACACCACAACCGTCACCAACAACAACAACCGTAAAAACAACATCAATAAAACACTCCCCCTAAAATAAATAAATAAATAAATAAACTAAAATAAAAAGCAACAACAATATAACACTCCCCCACAAAATAAATACATAAATAAATAAATAAATAGATAAATAAATAAATAAATAAACTAAAAAGCCGGGCCAAAAAATACATAAATAAATAAATAAATAGATAAATAAATAAATAAACTAAAAAGCCCGGGCCAGATACTAGCACATCCACGGACTGACTGACTGGTCGATCGGCGGCCGTCAGTCACACCCTCCGTCCCCTCGCACCAACCTCTCTCACCCTGGCCCGGAAAGCGATTTTAACCCTACTTTCTCTCTTTCGCGACGAGGAATATATGAAAAACACCTGAGATAAACAGGTCCACGAAGAATGAGAAGAAAATAGCATTAAGGATTTACGATAAAAGAGAATAAAAAACAAACACAACACACGAATACCTCTCAACAAAGACGAAAGCACAAACAAGAAGACCAAATCAACCACACAAACAACAAGCAAGTCAATCAACCCAATCACGCAAAGAGGAGGAAAGTCAATCACACAAACAAGACACCCAACCAGAGAAGTCAATCAATCACACAAACAAGAAGTCAATCCACAATCACACAAACAAGAAGTCAATCACCAATCACACAAACAAAAGCACAAAGCAAGAAGTCAATCCACCAATCACACAAACAAGAAGTCAATCCACCAATCACACAAAAAGAAGTCAATCACAAATCACACAAACAAGAAGTCAATCCACAATCACACAAACAAGAAGTCAATCCACCAATCACACAAACAAGAAGTCAATCCACCAATCACACAAACAAGAAATCAAATCCACCAATCACACAACAAGAAGTCAATCCACCAATCACAAAACAGAAGTCAATCCACCAATACACACAAACAAGAAGTAATCCACCAATCACACAAACAAGAAGTCAATCCACCAATCACACAAACAAGAAGTCAATCCACCTCCACAAGAAGTCAATCCACCAATCACACAAAACAAGAAGTCAATCCACCAATCACACAAACAAGAAGTCAATCCACCATCACACAAACAAGAAGACAAAGTCACACAAACAAGTCAATCCACCAATCACACAAACAAGAAGTCAATCCACCAATCACACAAACAAGAGTCAATCCACCAATCACACAAACAAGAAGGTCCCAACGCCCCTAAAAACAATCACCACACAGGAGAGAGAAGAAAGAAAGGAAAACGACCCTTATCCACACACTCATTCCAACCCAGGCCGAAACGAAAGAACACCCAACCTCCCCATCCCCCACCCATCCCCCGCCCCCGACCCAAGGCCACGTATAACCCCCCACCCCACCCTCCCCCACCCCACCCCCGAAACCCAGGCTCTTCGGCATAATTAGGGCTCATTCGCGTGTGCCTTGACCTGTCTCGCACCTCAGGGACGGAGGGACAGGCGGTCGGGAGCTCGCATGTGGGTCGCCGGTTCGGGGTCGCTATGATACGACACAAACGGCGGGCAAAACGGGCGTATTATGAGGGAGGGGGAAGGGAGGGAACGGGAGGGGGGAGGGGTGAGGGAGGGGAGTTAGGGAGGAAGGATGGAAGGAGAAAGAGAGACAGAGAAGGGGGAGGGGAAGAAAGAGAATAAGAAGAAAGCAAAAGAGAAGAAAGAGGAGGAGGAGGATAATGAATGACAGAGAGAATATTTTCAGAAATCAATAGAGGCTTATTTACAAACGCTGAACAGAACACCGCGTAACGACACTCCCATCAGCAACTTCATAACCGATAAAAACAAGGAACAGGAAAGGGACCATAATTAAAAAACACATTAACAAATATGACTTACCTATCTACTTACCCCTCCCTCTCTCTCTCCCTCTCCCCTCTCCCTCTCCTCTCCCTCTCTCCCTCCCTCTCTCCCTCTCTCTCTCTTCTCTCTCTTCTCTCTCTCTATATATATATATATATATATATATATATATATATATATTATATATATATACATATATATAAATGGGGGGACAGAAGAACCCAAACGGCCAACTTACCTGAGTGTCGAAAACGTTTTTCAGCGTCACGCCGAACTGGTGGTAGAGGGCGCCAGCATCGCCGCGGCAGTCGTGAGCCAC